AGTGAGGGAATTAGGTAAAATTGTGTTTGTTTTTATGATAGTTGTTAATGTAGGAATTGTTAAATTATTTTTATATAAAATAATAAAAAAAATATAAAAAATTAAACTTTAAAGTTTAAAAAAATCCCAATATGTAAAAAATAAAAAAAATAAAAAAATTTCTAATCCCCTCACTATGTTTCTAATACCACCTCTACCTCCTCCATCCCAATCCCCCTTCCAACCTCCATCTTAATCCCCTCCTCCATCCCAATCCCTTCCCCAACTCTACAAACAAACACAACATTAAATAACCCCACCTCCATCTTAATCCCCTCCCATCTATTACACCCCAAAACAAACGGGGCCTTCATGTATACCCCATAATTAAGATTGACCATACCAATTACAATCCCACCTTACCAATCATCCAACATATCATTAACCCTACCATGCACATTAACACATTTGATCACTCACCTCTGCCTTTCCCCCCATCTCGCAGCTAGTGGTTGCCCTCCCTCCCCCTCCACTTAACCCTCCCACCATAACCACCCTCTCAACCTCCACCAAACCCTTACCAAAATCGTCTCCTCCATTGAGAAGAAGATGAGTAACAATAGTCATCAACCACTAGTACCAATCCCACCATCTCTCCCCCTCTAGCAACGCTATACCCCTGCCCTTTGTCCACCCCTCTAGCACCGCTACCCCCACTATCTCTTCCCTTTTTACCGCATGACAGTCCCTCACACTTCAATTCACTGCCATCACCCCTTCTCATTCGATTCACCTCATCGATCGAGGAACAATGAAGGATGCTTGGGTGCATAATGTCACGCTGGCAACGAGGTAATTGTCATTCTTCAAGTCACCACTATCATTGAGTTGTGTGAGCGCGTTAATACATGTAGGCATATATCAATATATATACTTATCTATACGACTATAAGAGGCTCTTACACTTTGCTATAGTGCATCACTTCTATTTTGCCACTTTCTTCCATATCTTTTTGTGCTTTAAAAGACGGAAAATTTATAGTTTTGGGGGCATTAACCATTCAGTTGGCCTTATTTAGAATATCACATTGAAACTACTTTCTTGTCCTTTCTTCATTGGGAATATTATAACTTCTCGTGCTTGTAATATTTTTTATTTTTAAGGTTCTTTACAAAATTTTAACAATTTTGGTTTCATGAATTTACTACTTTGACAATTTTGATAGTTTTAGATTCCTGTTGCTTTCTATATGGCAGTATTCAGACCTCATGCACCATGATTGTCTTTTTGTAAAATATCAATAATGTTATGATGACCATATTTTTATACCATAATTTATTTACCATCTCATATATCACAACTGCATTAGATTAAAACATGAGTGGTGGGTACTCTTTAGACTAATGCAATGATCAGTGTTTTAAAAGGCTCTAGGCGCACTACGGCGATAAGGTCTCCTATAGCCTAAGTGCAAGGCGCGCGCCTCACCAAATTGAGGCACAAGTAGTAGAAGAAAAGAAAAATTATAAAATAGGCAAACTTTTCAACATAACAAATATATATATAGAATTCCAAAAATCATAAAGCAAGTTTCACAAGCGTAACAAAAGAGAAAAAACAAAAAGACAACCCGCAAAGAAGTAGGAGAAGAGAATAAAAGAAGAAAAGAAGAAGAGAAGAAAAGTAAATAAAGAAAAAACAAAGGCAGACCCACGAAGAGAACCCATCGAAGAAGAGAAGAATAAAATAAGAAAAAGAACAAAAGAACAAAAAAATAAAGGAAGAAAAAACAGAGGTGAAGAGATAACCCAACCAAGAGAACCCATTGAAGAAGAAAAGAAAACCCTGAGGAAAAAACCAAAGTCGTGTCGTCTTCTCACTTTCTGATTGCTTTTTTTAATCTTCTCTACCTAGGATCTTTTTTAATCACTTTCTACTCTCTTTTGACCACGTTTGGTCATTTTATATTGAAGAGTTTTGATTTCCTATAGGGTATGCTCACAAAAAAAGCACTAACAGTTGGAGTAGAAAAATAAGTAAAAGCCATGAAGCTCGCAACTTACACCTCGAAAAAAAGCCCTCGCCTTATCGCCTTTCATATTGTGCCTTGTCTTGACTTGTTTGAAGCGCAAGGTTGCGCCTCACGCTTAGCGCGCCTTTTAAAACACTAGCAATGATGATGCACGAGATGATAAACAATTTATGATACACAAATATGATCATCATAGCATTATCGGTGAATTATTTCTAAGTTTCTTATGTATTCATTTCCTCCATTATAGTAAATGTTTATCGTCTTTGGAATTATTCCTAGGTTCATGCTAACAAGTGACCTGGGCACTTGTTAAGGAATAATTAATTATATGTTCAAAGTTTCGAACATATATGTTTATATATGTTAAAAAAAATTTAGTTTCTAAAGGCAAATGCTAACAAGAACTCCTAGGAGGCTGGGACACTTGTTAAGGTGTAATTAGTGAATCTATTTATACTAAAAACTGAGTGAATTGATATATAAATTTTTTGTTATTATTAAATAAGTCATTAAATACAAGGTTTTCAACAATTTACTTAATAATTTCTTTTACTACCAAATATACATTTGTTTGGAGTCATGATGAATACACAAGTAAAATGATAAATTAACTAAAATAAATTGTTGAGAATTATTATTTATTACCGCATAAAATTTCACCCCATTACCTCGCCTGATATTTATATTCATGCAATAAATACCAGGTGTATATGTGGGCCCATCATATTTAAAAAATGAGAAAACCCATCATATCACATGCGAAATCAAATAAGAAGTGAAAATTTTTGGTGAAATATTTAGTTGATATATAGTAGCCCTCAAAAAAGTTTCTACCATGTTGTATTAAATTAAATCCATTTAATTTTAAAAAATTATTTGTCTTTAATTGCGATGTAATTAATTCAAAGAGCATTAAATCTAAGTAAGTGTTTGGCATGTGCTAAAAAAGTGCACTTTTTTTGCATACGTACACTTATTTTGATCATATCAATCAACATCTATCAACATCTCCTCTCTACTGTTTTACTCACTTTCTCTACTTTTCTACACATTTTTTTATAAAAAGTTAAAAAATACACTTATTTAGAACATCCTAAACCATCCTTAAATATATAGGCATTAATTACTCCGGGCAAGACCACTTTCAATATTATTATTTTTATTTATGTATTTATCATGGCTATATTTGGTAGTAAATAATTTAATAACTACTACAATTAATATAATTAATTAAAAACCTTGCATTTAATAACTTATTTAATGACAAAAAATCAATATATTAATTCACCAACTTTTTAACCTATAATAAATGATTAATTACAAATTAATAAGTGTCCCAAGAGCACTCGTTAACATTTACCATATTCAGCTACTTAATCTATATATTTACCCCAAAAAAAAAACACATTTGCAATATTCTTAGAGGGTGCATGCCGCACTCACAAAGGATTGCCAGTGACATACTAGAGAAAGGTGGGTATTTTTTTTATTTTTTTTTGATAAATAAAGAATGTTAGTAAAGTTAAGTTACAACTTAAAGGGGCCGCTGCTGGTCCATCAGCTCGAATTCCAAACCTTCTACTCACCATACCCTAAGGTGCGGCTACAATGTCACTCGACCACAAGGGCCTCGGCAATTTTAATGGAAAGGGGTGCAACACGAGGACTTCCCAAGGGGTCACCCATCCTAGTACTACTTGACGTTAATTACTAATAATGCTATATGATGACCATATGATATTTTGTTTACCACCAATACAGTGTTGATATGTGACATGGTAAACAAAACATTACAAAAAAATATGATCATCGTAGTATTATTATTGATTCTTATACATATGTATTAATACTACATGCCACAGGGCTATTGCTCTACCATTGGCATGGCAACATCATGCGTAGCACGAAGCATATATACTAGTATCTACCTAAGGCTATAGGTCTACCACTGGCATGGCAACATCATGCATAGCATGAATCATATATACTAGTACATAGGTGTACGTATCAATATACCCAGACTAATGTTTCAACGTTGCAAGGATTGACACAATGTTTTAGGAATCCAATTTTCGATTTTTTGAATTGCCTCTAAAAATCCAAAGGAGACCCAGCCATTTCCTTTTGCAAGCATTCCAACTGGAAAGAGAAGAAGAGAGCGTAAAATGACAACATTATCCTCCCTCCACTAGCGTCTTTTACGTAGATGAGTGGATGATTTAAATTGATATCAGTTTAGGAGTTCAGGGTTTAATTTAAAAATATTAAAAATTCAAGGTTTAATTAGTTACAAGGCTCGTACTTTTCGGTCTTTTATGTAATTTTCCTTTGTTAAAATTGAGAGTTCAGGGGGCAGAGACACAAGTGTAGTAATTTGAGAAGACAAAGTGAAATTTCGTCAAAAAGTTAACCCAAACATCCATATTTTCAACCTCAATTTTTTAGTCTAAAAAGACAAAAAGTGCACTTATTTAGGACACCCCAAACAACCCCTTAAATTGATATCAGTTTAGGAGTTCAGGGTTAATTTAAAAATATTAAAAATTCAAGGTTTAATTAGTTACAAGGCTCATACTTTTCGGTCTTTTATGTAATTTTCCTTTGTTAAAATTGAGAGTTCAGGGGGCAGAGACACAAGTGTAGTAATTTGAGAAGACAAAGTGAAATTTCTCGATTCTTTATGTGGGTCCATTTTTTTCCTTTGAAATTAGACAAAAAATTTCTTTCCAAATTTTAGGTGGTTCAAGCAAACATAATTGTTGAATAACTAATCAAAAACATTATTTTCCCAAAAGCAAAAGTGTTATATCAAAATGCTAACCAAACAATGCCAGAACTTTTATAGAGTTAGCATTAGCATCAACATCAACTTCCAATAGCCATAAAAAATTATTACCTAGTTGATCATAATTCAAGACTACATGAGTGGCATGGATATAATGAGAATGCAAATTATAACATGTAAAGAGAGGAAATGATACTAACCGCATCTTTCTTACTATTTTGTTTTTCTTCCAAATCTTGTAGAGTTGCATCCAACCGTTTCCTATTTTATGGAAACACAATTTATATTCACATAGCAAAGCAGCAAGAACAATAAGTACAGCAGAAAACGAAAGCGAAAGCGAAGAGGAATAAAGAGGAAGAAGAAGAGACTGTGAAACGGGACACATGGTTTATTACATGAGTGCTTAAATTATAGGTAAAAAGGATGAAGTCACTACCAAGGTAATGCAAACATACATCGTAGATAAAAGGCAAGTACAGAGAAGTAAACTATTTTATGGCATACATTGTATCCCAGCCCAACAAACATAGAAATTTAGGCCAAGTTTGGCATGATTGAAAAAAGATAAAAAGTCAAAAAGTCACTATCCTATTTAAGTCACATCATCTTATTTAAGTCACATCACCTCTCTAACACATCACTTCAAACCCAACCCAAACCCAACCCATATTTCATAAAAAGTCAAAAGTACACTTATTTAGTCTTCCCAAACTAGGCCTTATATTTCAATGTCCAATCTAAAAGCTTCCACCAAATTTTAAAACAACTACCACAATAATAATTCAATAGACCAGGCATGGAAATGAGGTATTGGACAGAAGAAACTCCCTAAATCTGGATACCATGACAAATGTGCGTGTGTGTGTGTGTGAATTTATTACATTAAGGCCATAAATAGGGTTAATTAGTGTAAAATCCCACCAACATGTACTCATGCAAGGATATGTTCCATTTTAAGTCCAGTAACTAGTGAAGTCCCCACATAATAATGTTTGTGAGCATAACTTCTTTTTGAAATTGCCATCTCATGTTCAAACAATTTTATCCTTGAATCTAATGGCAGCAGCATGAGTAGCATTGCTGACATGCCAAGCAGTACATTTTTTCAAACTTTAAAATATCATATTCATAACTTTCAATGTACATGGAAAAAATATATTTTTTGGAACTTTTCGTTGCGATCAAACAAGATCCATATTGAAAATGAAATTATATTTTAGCATGGTCAACAAGATCCATGAATATGAAATTGGCATGATCCATGTTTACAATTATTAGCATGATCATGTAAAAATTGGCATGACTATTGCAAACATGAATCATATTCAAATTTCATATTCAACAAGATCCATGATTATTAGCATGATCATGTAAAAATTGGAAACTATGAAAGATCATGCCAATTTTTTCCACCTTTGAGATAATCATGCCAATAATTGTAAACACTACAAATAAAAAATTATTCAGGGTTAATTACACTTAGCATCCCTATACTTTTAATTGTGATTATTAAGTAAAATTATAATGTCACCCTTCTGTCCATATGGCATTAATGAGACTAATAGAAATTGACATGTGAACCAAATGTGTAAGGCACAATTAAAAGTAGAGTGGCCAAAGTGGGGATTTTGGTGAAAGTTGAAAGACCGGAGTGAGATTTTAGTGAAAGTGCAAGAGTTTTAAAAACAACATAAGAAAAATATAGCATGAAAGATCATCAAATGGGAATTATAATAATAAACAAATATTGGGAAAAACCATACAAAATACATCAGAAAAGGAGGTGTTTTAAATTTACAAAGCATCTACACTCATCTATCCATCACAACAAACAGCAATGACAAATTATTTTGTAATATAAGTTTCTATATCGATCAAGTAGCATAAATTTCATCAACAGAGCATTATTAAGATTCCCAAATAACAACAATTCCCATCAATTTTGGGTTCCTACAACATTCCCATTCTCTGACAGTAAATACGAAAGGGGTCATCCTGAAACTACTAGAAATTTCAACAAACTATCATTAAGGATCTGCGAATCAAGCCGTGTATTTATACCCCAACCAATTAAAAACAACAAATTGAGACTTAGATAAAAATTCGACGTGCCTATAACTAGAATTTGCAAGAATTAGTCATGAAATTTGTGAAGAGAGGTAAAAAAGGAACATACAATTCAGCAGAGATGTAATCAATTCGCTTACGGACATTCGCGTTGGCCTCTGCTAAATCCTGCTTCACGAGTACAGGTCCTATCAATTTGTACACATTCGCATCTTCATTCAACAGATTCAGCTCCTTCAATAAAAACCCCAATAATCACAAACCATAATCACAATCAAATGAGTTATCCCTATACCTATATATATATATCTATCTATCTATAAAATGAAATTAACAAAATGTGACATTTTTATTTTCAAAAATACCCTTATAGTCTATTTAAAATACCAAATTATATAGTGAGGCCAACATTTTTAGCGCACACAACATCAAAATCAAATTTTATATTTTACAGATTTAACAGCACATCCTTCGGCTGGACACGAACCCACTAGTATATACAGAGAGAGACCTTGAGGACGAGCTCGTTTTCACCAAGCTGGATGGTGTACTTCTTTCTAACTTGATGGTTCTTTGCGATATCTGTTAAAATAAAAAATTAAAAAAAGGTTGAATTAGGGTTAGGGTTAGATTGGAGGAAGAGGATGATATAGAGAGAGAAAGAAAAAGGTTGAATTAGGGTTAGGGTTAGATTGGAGGAAGAGGATGATATAGAGAGAGAGAGTTGCCTTTCTGGAGTTTGCTGAGATCGTTGCCTTTGGACTCGAGTTCTCGCTGTAGCTCGCGCATAGCACTCGACGAGCCCATTTTCCTTCGATCGTCTCTCTGTCTGTCTGTGAACTCCTGGGTTTTTCCGGCGTTTGTGGGTGAGGTTTACGCACTTGTGGGGACATTTTTAGATGAAAAATTAAAAAATAATAATAAAAAAATAAAAAAGCAAATTCGGATTCCCACCTTGTCGCTCACTTTTTAAGAACAATGCAAGATAGTTCGAAAAATCATGGTTTAAAATATTCAAAATGATATTATTTTAAGTGTAAAACGACGTCATTTTGACACATTCGAGCTATAAAAATGTGAGTCACCAAACATTTTCGACTTTTTAATTATGATGCATTTTACCTTAAATTTTAAATATATTTTAAAATAAGAATAATTCAAAATAGGGATTTTTATTGATAAGTCCAATTTAGAAGTGTTTTAACCTAAGAAGTCCATGAATGAATTTTTTAACCCATTTAGTCCCATGTATGTATAGTTTTATTCCATAAAGTTCATTTTCTTGATTTACACTATTTTCTTGGATACTTATGCCCTTATATTTAATTTTGATACCCTTATAAATATTTTTTCAGCGATTAGCAATTTAATGATGCGAACATTCATATTTTAAAATTCACATTTGTGGGAATGTAAATTGGCCCGTGGGCGGCCCGAAGCCCGCCCGCGAGCCAGGGCGGGCCCGGCCCGTTGACAATGTAAATATTCACATTGACATGTTAACATTCACATTGATAGGAGTGTAAAATTAGCCCGCGCCTCGTAACTGCCCGAAACCCGCCCACGGCCCGTGGGCGGGCCCGGCCCGGCCTATTGACAATGTGAATGTTCACATTGACATGTTAACATTCACATTGATAAGAGTATAAAACTAGACAGCAGCCCAGGGCGGGCCCGACTCGGCCCGTTGACAATGTGAATATTCACATTAACATGTTAACATTCGCATTAATAGGAGTGTAAAATTGGCCCCCGTCCCGTGGCGGCGCGAAACCCGCCCACGGCCCATGGACAGCTCGGGCGTGGGCCTGGTCTAGCCCGTTGACAATGTTAACATTCACATTGACATGTTAACATTCACATTGATAAGAGTATAAATTTGGCCCGCGGCCCATGGACGGCCAAAAGCCCGCCCGCTGCCCGGGGCGGGCCCGGCTCGGCTCGTTGACAGTGTGAATATTCACATTGACATGTTAACATGCACATTGATAAGAGTGTAAAATTAGCCCGCGCCCCGTGGCTGCCCGAAACCCGTCCACGGCCCATGGGCGACCTTGGGCGGGCCCAACCCGGCCTGTTGACAATGTGAATATTCACATTGACATGTTAACATTCACATTGATAAGAGTGTACAATTGGCCCGTGACCCATAGCCCGACCTCGGGCCAGGGCGGGCCCAGCCCGTTAACAATGTGAATATTCACATTGACATGTTAACATTCACATTGATAGGACTGTAAAATTGGCCCACAACCCGTGGCGCGGCCCGAAGCCCGATCGCAGCCCGGGGCGGGCTTGGCCCGACCCGTGACAATGTGAATATTCACATTGACATGTTAACGTAAACATTGATAGGAGTGTAAAACTTGTCCGCTGGCCGAAGCTCGCCCGCAGCCCGGGTAGGCCCGGACCCAAACCCGGGCCACCCCGAGCCGCCCATGGGACGCGAGTCAATTTTACACTCTTATCAATGTGAATGTTTACATGTCAATATGAATATTCACATTGTCAACAGACCGGGCCGGGCCCGCCTCGGGCCGCCCACGGGCCGTGGGCGTGTTTCGGGCACAGGCCGGGTCGGGCCCGCCCCAGGGCGCCCACGGGCCGTGGGCTAGTTTTGGGCAGCCACGGGGCGCGGGCTAATTTTATACTCTTATCAATGTGAATGTTAACATGTCAATGTGAATATTCACGTTGTCAACGGGCCGGGCCTGCGTCGGCCCGGGGCCGGGCTTCGGGCTGCCCACGGGTCACGGGCTAATTTTACACTCTTATCAATGTTAATGTTAATATGCCAATGTGAATATTCACATTGTCAACGAGTCGGGCCGGGCCCGCCCTAGGCAGCGGGCGGGCTTTGGGCCGCCCACGGGCTACAGGCCAATTTTACATTCCTATCAATGTGAATGTTAATATGTCAATATGAATATTCACATTGTCAATAGGCCGGACCGGGCTCACCCTGGGCCGCCCATGGGACGTGAGTCAATTTTACACTCTTATCAATGTGAATGTTAATATGTCAATGTGAATATTCACATTGTCAACAGGCCGGGTCGGGCCCGCCCCAGGGCGCCCACGGGCCGTGGGCTAGTTTTGGGCAGCCACGGGGCGCGGGCTAATTTTATACTCTTATCAATGTGAATGTTAATATGTCAATGTGAATATTTGCATTATCAACGGGTCGGGCCAAGCCCGCCCAGGGCAGCCCACGAGCCGTAGGCGGGTTTCGGGCCGGCTACAAGCCGTGGGCTAATTTTACACTCCTATCAATGTGAATATTCACATTGTCAACAAGCCGGGCCCGCCCCGACTCAAGCCCGGGCTTCGGGCTACCCACAGGTCATGGGCCAATTTTACACTCTTGTCAATGTTAATGTTAATGTTAATATGTCAATGTGAATATTCATATTGTGAACAGGCCCGCCCCGGGCAACAGGCTGGTTTCGAGCCGTCCACGGGCCGCAGGCCAATTTTACACTCCTATCAATGTGAATGTTAACTTGTCAATGTGAATATTCATATTATCAACGGGCCAGGTCGGGCCTATTTTTTTGGTTTGTGGGGTGGCCCGGCCCGACTGGAATTTTTCCGGACACCCACGAGGATCGACATGAGTCGGGCCCCTACACATTGACGATATAAACATTTATATTGACGGTGTGAATATTCACATTAAGGGTATTTTGGTAATTATGTCACCCATAGGACTTATTGAAACATAAGAAAATAATGTGAACTAAATGGAACATAAGTAGATGAAAATGGTATTTTCGTCTTTTTATCTCAAATTGGACCTAATGGAATAGTCAAAAAGAATATGGATTGGATGGAATAAAACTCTTAGAAAATGAATTTATCAAAAAAGCCCCCTTAAAAATACTATTACCTCATTTCAATGATAAAGTCATTAATTTAATAAAATTTAAATTAATTTAATAAAAATAAATATTAAAAATTATCTTTAACCACCAAAGATAAAATTATATAAAAATAATAAATTTTTTGTATTTGATTTTTTATCAAATTAATTTTTAATATATGTTTGGATGATAATCATGTAATGAGTGATTGTTTTTGTTGATATTTTTTATGATTATCATGTAATAAATGGTTATATTTGTTATTAATAGATTTTTTTTGTCTATTATCATATAATAGATGGTAATTAGCCGTGCAATCTATATGTTTAATATATGAAATTTTTTAATTTTGGATTTTTTATTTAATAGATTAGTTTAATAATAATATCACAGTTATCATGTTTGACTTTTGAAAAAATAAAAATTAATTTAACGAAATAAATATCAAAAAAATATTTTAAAAAATATCTTTCTATCCTCTCAAAAGATAAAATTATATAAAAATGATGTGTTTTTAATTTTTTTTTACCAATTTAATTTAGTTTTTAGAAAAAAAAATTTAAATAGATTATGAAAATCAAACCAAATAAAACTTTATAATAAAAAAAGTTTCACCATTATTCATTCAAAAAAAGGACATTACATTTTAAACAACATACAATTAACCAACATAAAATAAGTTTTATGACGTTGTTGACCTTGAAATGAATCGTTCGTAAATAAAAACATCTTTAATTATCCCTATTTGAAATAATATTCAAAATTCATAATTAAATGTATCACAATTGAAAAGTTAGGAACTAAAGTAACACAATTGCCAAATTACAAAAATTGTTAGTGCAATTCATCCAATGAAAAATGTTAGGATCCATCCTTGCGGGCTCAAATTTAGCCCGAACGTATTTGTGTTTAATTGATGACCGTGAGCTCTACATATGAAATGAACATGAACTATTAACCTCTTTTTTGAATAAATTATGAGTTAATAAAGATAAATTTGTAATGTTATTATTTTAAAATAGGTTTTTGTCACCCATATTTATTTTTTACTCTCTTACCTTTCCTTTATTTGGGCAAAAAAAATATAGTTTAATGAAAGATATTTTATACCCAAAAAATGGTGAGACAAAGGTGGAGGTAGCGGGATAGTGGTGATGATGATGATTATGGTGGTACTAGTCATTGTGATGGTGTAAGTGAGAGTAACGGTGGTAGTGTCATGACATTATTAAAATTTTAATTTGAAAACTTTTTTTAAATATGAGAAATATTTTCTATTCAAATAAATTTATTTTTTTATTGACCATGGAAATGTTTTCCGTATACTTTTGTTTTTTATTATACCAAATGCTAAAACATACACTGTTAAAAATAAAAAATTGCTAAAAGATACATCAAATATTAAAATGTATCAGTTTACTCCTAAACTACTTCAAAATGAACATATATTATTTGGACGTTGAAAGGATCATACTGTAACTAACCCTTTCAAATAATAAAATTGTTTTCATGATTCACATATAATAGCATTGTTTGATACAATTTATTTTTTATTTTTTATTTTTAGATTGGGATGCAATTTATTATAAATTGAAAAGTTGATAATCCATAAACATAAGCAAAAAAGGTAGATATTCTAATTTTACAATTATTTTTTAAAAATTACTTCAGTTATTTTTATCTATTAAATTATAAGCATATTTGGTACAAAAATAGTACCAATGACAGGATAAATACATCGCACTTTATATAATTGAATTGGTGACAAATAAAAAAATCAAGGGAATTTTTTTTAGGTCCTTAATATTAAGATTTTATAGCATAAAGGATATCTAATAATTTTATAATATCTAAGGTCCCTCAACATCGATTCAGAGAAAATTCGATCCAGAAAATTTTTCTAAACTTCCCAGAGAAAGTCTCTCCAGAGAAATTTTGGGAATTTCTCTGAACTTCTCAGATAATTTATCTCTAGAGAAATAGAAAAATTTTGGGAAGGCCATAGAATTTATTTGGGTTCA